TTTCAGCCTTCTCGGTAAATGCCAAAATATGTTTGTTAAACCATGCTATGGAATTAGTGATAATCACAGCACCATTTTAGAGGAAGAAAACTTCAGAGGACATGAATCAATTTAAATGCAGGATGTTAGTCAAATGTGTTGATGATAATAACAATGAACGAAAAATCCTCGTTTTCGCTCTGTATTGCAACAAGATCATCTGGTGGGGGTTACCAGCTATGAAGCGAAGCACTACACAGTAACATGAAATGAGAATATCGCGGTATGGTTTAGTTCGATTCACAAGGTACAAACAAATGAGAAACAACTTAAACATTCATTCTTTTACTGCCACATTTTGATTCTGTACTTAGAGTAAATGTATTTATTATACAGACAGAAATTTTCCGAATTCTATTCACAAAGGTTTCTTCACCACTGTGCGCATATACTGTTTCTCTGTTGTCATCAGATCACAGTGCTAGAATGTGTCACTTGCTCTACTCTAACGGCTTTGTTTGTTCTCCCGTTTTATCGACTAAGATATACCGAATTGTCTAGTTTCAACGCTACGCTACTCCTTTTTTGTTTACTGAGTAATTTTTTAGAAAGAAGTCGAGGTTAACCTTGAAAATTTACTAGAAATTAACAAAATCAGATCGAAATGGCCAATTGACACGCAGTCAACAGACTGTGTAGTTATGAAAATCATAGAATTGTCATCTTGATTTATTCTACGAAGTTTATCTTCTTGATAGAGGTCAGTCAGTCAGTCAATAAAACTGTTTATGATTATGCACGTAAAATAGTCTAGATTATGAAAACTTGAGTTCATTATGTACAAGTGTCAGCAATGTCACATGCTCACAGATTTATTCTGACTAGTTGCCTTGATTTCACTTTATTACAAAACTACAGCACTGGATTGATGTGTACTTGTTTTAAAGAACAGATTTATGAGGGAGATATGATGAAGAAAATACTGATGATTTGTCGGATTACAGCTTTTATGTCACCAATGAATAATATTGAAGTTACTAATTGAAGTGAGGTGTGCGTCGGTGGTATAGCGGTTAGGACGCTCGCCGGGCATGCACATGGTCCGGGGTTCGATCCCGGCCACAGACGCACTCCTTTACCTCGCTGAACCAGAAATAATTCTGGTAAAGAGGGAAGGTTGGGCCAGCATGAGGCTAGCAACCCCATCCTGTAAAAGAAACACTGCTACAAAAACTTCAAGCCACTAGCTTGAAGTCCTATGTTCCACTGGGGAACGTGAAGGAAGAAAAAAAAGTTAAAGTGAGGGAAAAGAGGACTGGAAAAACCGAGTATATCTACTGAGCAGGACATACATTCAGCTGTAGGTGGTCAGATTACTGTGGAGAAATGACCTTATTTCATTTTCAACATTTATTCTCAAATTGTCAGGTGTAAGTTTGTAGGGATTTCATTTGTGAAAAGTCCGATCACGGTTTGATGTCAGTTAGGGAAGCAGAGAAAAAACCAGGGATTACTGGAAAGCTGGTCAATACTGGTTTGGGAACCCACGGAAATCGAACACAGGACCTTCTGGTCACACGGTCAAGCTTGTTGACCATTTTACTATTCCAGCCGAATCCAATGGCTTGTAAGTATGGGTTGTACTCGAGATTGACCTCAACTAACCGCAGTAACTGAAGACTTCTCCTCTGAATACCCTTAGGAATACTCGTTCTAGCGTGTAAGTGCTGCTTAACGATCGAGCTCAAAGTAAGTAGGCTTGAGACTGGGTAGTGTGTTCTGATGAGAGCCGTGTTTAAGACAGATGAAATATCAACTTAAATAAATAATGAGATTGTTGTACAATTTATCTAGCGCCTCGGCTGGGTAGTAAGCTCGAAGAGTGCGCTGAATGGTTTATAATCGTATCTAATGAGGGTGTCAAAGCCAGCCAGCCAGCCAGCCAGGATCTGAAGTCAGTTTGGGAATCTGGTGCTGTCAGCATAAATTCAGATTTCCAACGCTAATCTGAAGTTATTTCTTCTATATGTTTGTAGAGACTTCACGTGACTGAAAACGTATTGGCAACAAGCTACTTCATACTTTGACCAACAGCTGACTATCTACTCTGGCTCTATGTCAGAGATCAAATCGCCTACCGTAGCGGGTCAGCCAATCGAAAGGAAATCGCAAGTGACTAATCTGATTCATCAAACTACCAGTCTGCCAAAGCAGTTAACAAGAAATCGGTTGGTTTGAACTAATTCAGAACCCTCAGCTGAGTCGAACAGGGTACACCACTGATGAACTTAGTGTCAAACGAGTAAAACGGTCGGTCTTCGTTGTTTGGATCAACTAGATCTGGTGAGGAAGTACTACTGGTTGATGTAGGTAGTAGTATATGTAGCGTCACAATTATATCAGATTTTCTTTGAAAATCATGTTTGCCCCTAATACAGAACTCTCAGTCAGAGTAATCTCTTCCGGAATATTTACACTCTGTGTAGAATACTATTCATCGATAGCATACAGGACGACTCGATGTCATTTGATCTGAAACAACATCCGATTCTCTACGAATCGTTTCCTTCATTTTCTTTTCAAAGTACGCACAGCAATAGGTTGAAAGTCAACTAAACATTTTCACGAGTTCATGTTGTAATCCGGATACATAATTTGAAGATTAAAAGTACACGAAGAGGAGGAGAGAAGTGAATGCAGTTTCACTAAATGGAAATTTTGGTAGCCATTGGTTTAAGCAGGCAGATCTAGAATTCAGCATACTTGTAGTTATCACTTGATTGGACATAGGGACAGAGGAGAATTCACTCCGACATGAATGAATATCCGTAGTCCCACTGTGGGATGATGCTTAATCACAAAGGGTATAGAAAACAAAAAGGAAAACAACATAAAATTAGAAAGATGTTTGAGTAATATGTAAGATGACCTGTTCCACCGACAAAATGGTCGATAAAGATATGTTAAAGTGGAAGAAATCTAAAAGAAATTACAAGAAACTAAGTCCATGGTAGATGGATGGAATGAGATGACTAGACAAGCTTCTTTTTAAACACAGAACTCTGGCTTCCTGTGTTAAAATAGGCTTGACAGCATACAAGAAAATAAGGACAACAAATCATAACAGTAAGACACATAGATCATCTCAAAGACTGAAGGGCTCTAAACATTTCATATGAAAATATACATTTCTAGCCATGAAAACCACACCTGAAACTTTGTTTTCATTTGTAATTATGTATAACGGAGGAAGGAGGTTTGTGTTCTCTGTGTGTGTGAATACAACTACATCGAAGTGTAATTATGTCTCTTAACTTAATTTTACGTGAATTAACAGACAAAGAAACAAACTGAATCAATTGTAATTAAAAAAGGGTTGAAAGTTGTTCACGAATCATGACTGTAATATATGGATTATAAATATTTTAATCTATATTGTGACACATGATTGATTAAATTGTGTTTACAATATGACACGTGCAATGTGTTACAATGTGCTCCAATTTATTCATGCACTAATGACCTAAGTGATACTACAAGACGAAAATATCTTTGAATGCATTTCGCTTATTTGAACTATTCATCATCGAACATGAGATGAACTATCACGCAATAGTGCTACTTCCTTATTTGAGAAGACTATAAAAGCCTGACTGTTTGAATTGTTTTCACTGTCAGCTAATAATCATTTGAGTAGCTTTTCTGAAGGATTGATATTTTCAGATTTTCAAAGAATGTCTTTGAAAGTGTTGTTAACGACAGTCTACTTGGTTTTCGTCTTTCTCTGTAACAATCAAGTAGCATCGACTGGTATTCACAGCCTTCGTTATTATGGCTATAATACACCAATGGGTTAGTTAGTAAAGTGTTATTCATCTTTGCATATATGATGATATGATTTAGCATTCATTAATGTATGTAATGTTATGTAATTGGAAAAAATCGATTATTTTAGTAATTCTGTGTTTAATTTGTTACTTAATGACGCTGAACTCTTTCCTACTCACTAACACCACAGTTGCGTGTCTTTCTTATTTATTCCATTTGACGATGAACTGTCAAACAGGATTAATAAACTGTCTCCCCCGTTTTCATTCAAGAGATTCCTAGTGAGGTTAGATTTTATTACAAGTCACCATCCATTAAACCACGCTTTACTTATGAAAGGAGATGGTCATGTCAAATTCGTTTATGAATTAATACAAGAACCTATTATAGTTGTCCCACGGTAACTTTTATCGGATTATCTATCTATGCTCGCTTAGAAAAGCCTAGTCAATCCATACATTTCTTTTAAAGACAATCTTACAGGTCGAGGTTTAGATTTTCATGTCAAGCATTCATATTCATGACCAGCAGATATTTACTATCCGTATTCATCAGTTCTTGGTTATAATTTACCTTCTAAGGTAGGAATGAAAGTGTTTTCGAAAATAAACAAATAGATGAAAGAGGTTAGATGAATGAAGGCAATCGGCAAGCCTTTGACCTAGGTTTCGCGCTAGTTGACACTCAACAGTCAGCAAGGCGTATCTGCAGTCACCATGAAGGAGCTCATGTCCCTTCTGTGGTTCAAAAGTGCGTCAGCCAATACCGTTTGCAGTTAGCGGATGTTACCACAGCGCTATTCAGGATTGCGATTGACCTCCATACTGTAGGACTGCACGAAACAGGGAACTAGACTTATCACAATAGTTACTAGTGCCCAATCAAAGATGAAAGAAGTATTTTATCGATTTACCTTAAGGACATGCTTCTCTCTTCAATTCGACATCCAGTAAGACTCAGCATATGCGCACGCCTACAATGTTTCTACCCTATTCAACCCAAATCCTTCGAATGTGTTATTTGGAATTTAAGGCTAATTTACTCCTTATTTTCATAGATAATTCCGCCCTCCCCCACATATTAGACTACTCCGTGTATTCAGACTGATTTGAGATTTTCTCTCGGAAAATTACCACACGTGGGGATCACTTAGAAGGATACCAATACTGTGACTGATTTCTAACACAATCGAAATGTTTACTGAAATTGAACTGTTGTCATATTTTTCAGAGGTTGAACGCAGATATGATGCAGATTTATTTTTGAAGGGAACAGAAACCTCACCGAATAATATCACTGGGGTGACGACAAACGAAGCAGTTAACAAATCATCAAAGAATATACGGTTACCACAAACTGTATTTCCACGCTTCTATGATCTACAGCTTCAAGTTCATATTCATGGAAATGCAGATACTAAAGACTCCTATTTCAATGGATCTGTCACCATAGAGATTCAGTGTTTAGCAGCAACTGCAGAACTCTTTATTCATGCTTATCCCAATCTTAATGTCAGTAGGGATCAAATCAAAGTGAGTGATTCGATGTATACGGAAGTTTATTTTGGTTTTCTTTGGTCTGTGTGACTGTAAGTTGATTCGTTGTTACCTGTTGATTTCACGGCAGAAGTACTGTCATACTTCGTTTTCATTGTTGATGTTTCTCATTTAAGCTATGTCAGTAACACTCATTATATATGAAGTTGTCGTCCATGTTGGACTAAATAGTCGTCAGTTGACAATAACACGTCACTTATCAATTATAGTCATCCAAGTATTCACAGTTAATGCTTTTGGAGGCCCCATACACTGCAGCCTGATGACTTATTCCTGAAAGCTTCTTCTAATCATGCAGTGAATTATGGATTACTTTTGTTTGATTAGATTGCCATGATGTCACTTAAATTAGTGGAATTACACACATTCTGAGCTTAAACTCTAAACTCATATTACTACTCGTAAGTGAAGTCCATCTAACATTTTTCTGTGTATGGAAGCTGTTAGTGCAGTAATAATTCATTGAAGGAATAATCTGCCTTACACAGTGTTTATATCGTAGAAAGAATAAACTTATCTTTCTACGACTAAGGGAAGTGGAGTGGAGACGGAAAGGAACCTTGTAGTTTCAGCTCTTTGCAGGTTGAATTAAGGACTGGTAAATTTTCAGGAGTTGTTTTTAACAAATTTCCGTCTACTATATCCCCCTTGATTAAGTCATATTTGAGGGATTTGAAACTGAACTTATCTGAATGTTAACCTTTCGACAATGTCATGAAATATTTCAAAAGTAAGCCATCTGAACTGGATGTAAGGCTGCAACACTGAACAAGATAAAAGCTTCGATAAAAGGATTAGTGCTTGATAGTACCTTCATGTCAAACACTGACCTTTCCCTTATAGATTAACATTGTGGAGTTTACTGTCCACCAATTATTCAACACTTTGCAAACGATATTGAAGGATGAATACATGGAATTCTATGCTTTGAAAATATTAAAGAAATGTACTCAGTTGAAATTCTAATTTTAGTCTACTTCATTCATTCTCAGATTTTCATTCGTTTAATGATGAACAACAGACTTTGTTGAGCTTTTACCCGTTAAACTCAAATAAGGCTGAATGTTAAATGATGAACATTCACATCAAGTAATTAAAATGTGGGTGACGATGTGCAGTAGTCTCTTTTCTATGAATAATTCAGTTTGACTCACTTTCACGACTCCCCACCATCTTGTCTCGTCTTGTATAGATATTTTCAGACGATAAGGAAGATTCAAAGAAGACGGAAATTCCAATACAGACGATATCCTACGATAAAGATGCTGAATGGTACCACATACAGTTGAAAGATGCACTACAACCCAATGCAAGTTATAAACTGATATTTGGTCAATTTAATTCTTCACTAAACTACGAACCGCTAGGATTTTATCTGAGTCGATATGCAGAAAATGGAACTTATAAGTAAGTAAGTACTTTTATTCGAGATATTTAATAATCATCGGGATTAATTTGATTTGAGTCCTCTGTTGAATATTTTAACTTAGTTCAGCTCATAGTGACGTTCCCATTTGGATGAGTTTCAAAGCAAACCTTATCATTCGTAGAATAATGTGAAGTTATACGCCACTAGAGTACTCGGATTCTATTCCTATATTAAGCGCGATTCATAGTGTACAGAGTGGGAGAGTGCCAGTAGTCCACTGACAGATTTTACTCTGTCTTTCACACATGAACAAAGAAGGTGTGACTAGAACTTCTTAACTCTTTACGGCTTAATTACCTACCATAATAAACCTTTGTTTCATAGTATGTGTTAACACAGTGCGGAAATTTCCAACGTGTTTAGTTCCACAATATTTCGTCTTCGTACAGGATTTACACATAAGGTAGTAATCCGAAGTATATCATGTGACGTAGTGTTGTTGTATATGAAGACAGGGTCAATTCTGCATATTTTGTCTTCGTTTGCCTCAAGAAATGCACAATGTTCTGTTGAAAGGCGATTGAATATGTCCATGAGTTGGTGTAACAATACTCTGATATAACTGCATGATTAAAATGCAGAAGACTTTAAGCAACATCTCGATGAATGAATATTCTTGTAGCCCATCAATTTTAGCAGGCCGTCGCCTCAAACACAAATATCATCTTCTTAATGTAAACGTCAGCTTGAAACAGCATCATATTTTAATCGAATTTTAATCTGATGTTCAGTAAAATCTATGGAGATGTTCAAGACAGAGTAATCTAATTTGAGTCTGTTGAGTAACAATCAGTTATTTCATATTTCCAAAATTTTAGCATCATTTTTCATTTACATCACTGTCCATCTCATCCCACTTGAATTTATCAGTTGGATTATTTTTCAAAAATTCTAATGAAGTGTAACTGTCATTTAGTGTTATTACTGTCAGTATCTTCTCAGATTTGCCAACCTTCAAAATGAAAACTAATTTTAAGAACGTCATTGACCAATTTCTCGAAATTTACTCCTCGTATGTCTCATGTCAAGCAGTAATCCAGATATACTGGAGAAGATTTGTGGGCGATATTGATACTTTGGTGTAGTAGCATTCTCTGAGCTGGTCTCAATGGCTACATTGTCTAAGAGGTCGTCTTGTAATTGAGAGGTGCTGGTTTCGAATCCCGTTGGGTGTACACTACCGAAGAGTCCCAGACTAAGAGGAAACAGTTGTGCAATACTCACCTCATAGAGCACAACTACACCCAAAAATCAGTAATCAGTAATATGGTGGACACTCCGGCGTGTAATAAGATCTTCAGTAGGTGATTTTCTCTCCGAAATGGTAATATTTAAAATAAACGAACTAGAGGAAATGAAAATAACGGCTTTATGATAACGCTGCTCACACTCGATCAAGCAGCGAATAATCATGAGCATTACTGAAAGTCGGTTAACTAGGTTGAAACACCAATCATCATACACTGTAGTTGGTTGTTAGTATTTTGATGAATGATTCAGTGACGTGATTAATATTATTATTATTACTCTTGTTCCCTTGGGTTCCAAGAGGAACATAGGGCTTTAAATACACATTTCCACTTCTATTTTCTGCTTTCCTGTTTGGCTGGGCCCACGATTGCCCGTAACATGTCATCTCCTCCCCCAACTCATGCGATCTCTTCCATGTCACCCTCGCACCAACTACACACTCGTCGCTTCCCATCGGGATTCCACTCGATTGATGGCCTGCATTGAGCGCGATGTCATTCGACGGTCTCCTCAACGTGCGTCCGATCAATCCATCTCCATTTTCTTCTAAATATTTGTTGATCGATAGGTGCTTGGTTAATTTGTCGGCGGCCAGCGTTTCGTGTTATTAATTCTTCCTGGACATCTCATCTCCAGTATAGAGCAGTTGTTGACAAAAGTCTGCAAACCGTTGGCAAATGCTTTTCGGTGATGTGAAGCTAAATGAAAATTCGTCTATTTCCGATCAATCAGATACTAGAAAAGTGATGAATGGATGATGTCTGCCTGCCTTTCATTCGTTTTATGAAAACGCTACTCTTGTTGACAGTGAGTGACATATACATGATAGATCAATGGGACTCCTGTCTTATTACCAGATCATTCAAAAAGGCACACACTGGAAACTGTTTCATGTGTGGTGAGAGCAGGCTGCTAGCCAATTGGTAGACATTAATTTACGTCAATGTCTAGGTCACTAATATTGGCCGTGGGAAAATATGGACAAGACTGAGTCAACAACCAATCACGGCAGACTTAACGTGGGCAAATATGATTCGCAGATATGTGGCTTAACTTTCCGAGAAACCAGTCACCTTGAGCAAGAAACAACCAATCAGAAGACTGTGTTTGTCTGCTTGAATGAGCTATAATGGTGCACATGAAATATATATAAATACGTGCTGATTTCCGTAATGAATCGATCTGTTTCCGGCCTTTGTCTTCTGTTGTTACACATGTATCTGAGGTAACCAGAAAAGCAGTGAAAATCAATGTCTCGGTTTTTAGTCTGAATAAATCGTACTGTAAATTTGCAAACTGACTAAGGTAAGTAAAATTAAATCTAACCACAGATTTCCAGGTAAATCGGATTATGGAATCTGCACAGACTTGAAGATATGTTAGTGGTCGTATATGTTAACAGCGTTTACTGTAAATATCCTGTTCTTGTCACTGCAAACACATTTTACAAAGACACTTTAGTGGTTCATAATTGATTGGTAATTAATGACGCAATTAAGTAGTATGTTTTCCTCCAAAGCAATCTAAGTGTCGCAGTAAATCAATAAATTAGGAAAACGGAGCTAAACACCTGCAGTATCTTTGTCACATTTGATAGGAATATCTTTTGAAAGCCTACTTCAAATTCAACATGTTCAGCATGTTTGCATTGGGAATACATCTTGATTCAAAAGAACATGACTGAGATTGTTACTGAGATTTTCCTTGAATTTTCGAAACAACTTTATTCCTTCAATTTGTATTACGATTTGTGTATCGTGGTGTGCTCATTTCTCAGCCTCTCTCTGTCTCCTTTCCTAACTGGTTATACACTAAAATTTACTTAAATATGCAAGCTTAACTTGACATTTTGACGTGAACATACCGACGTTTATGCTGAGGTATTTTGTAATTATCATGAATTGCTAACTGTATTGCTCCCCTCTATCTTATGCAAAAGTGAATAGAATAATTAACATCGAATCATTCACATATACTTTCAATTAACTCGATATGCATCGTCTTTATTTCAGGTACTTAGCAAGCACACAATTTGAGTCAACTTATGCAAGGCGTGTATTTCCTTGTTGGGATGAACCTGGATTTAAGGCCGTGTTTCAGGTACGTGTACTATTGCAGTTCCTGTGCATTCTGAATTTCCGTTTAACTGAGACGTAGTTCATTGAGAGTAAAGAGAAATGAAATGTTGCCTCATCTGTGGATATGTGAAGGAATTTACGATCTATATATGTGTATAAGGATCTAGAATAGGTGTGTAGTCAATGGACCATAATTTCACAAGGGAAGCCAATTTGATTCATTTCAGGGTGTCAGAAAATATGCTGTGGTTATAAAACAAGCCAAAGAATCGTCTATTGTTCCATTGATCATTAGCTCTTTCATATATCACTGTACGAATGAGTTACTAAGTATGAAGCGAGAATATGGGTTGTCTTTTATGGTATTCTAGCAGCGATCTATGGACAGGGACACACTCAACGTTATCTATTCGATTCGTGGATAGATCAATGTGGTGTCAAAATAATCTACAGTTGGAAGTTTCAAGTACTGGTTTGTAGAGATTTGATTGATTGGTTATAGAATTTCATCATGAGCTGACACCGGTTAGAGGACCTTTGGAAAACTAGCTGAGAGTACTGGACAGTCGGTTGTTTGGTCGTAGTAAGAGACTTTTCACAATACGTACCTACCGAGGTCTGAACTCAGGACCTTCTGTTTACAAGGCGATGTTGTAGACCCTTAAGCCACTGGGACCCGATCCAATGGCCAGCCCATGAATTCCTACTTCCGTCAATTCACGACATAGCGCGACCACTAGCGAATGTCATCCGTGGCGAGTAATTGTCCTCATACTGGACCTGCCATACCCTACTGGTCATGGCTTCCCATTAGAACCCGAGGTAACTACCTACCTGAATAAGGTCAGTCGCTAGGCAGTTTGATGTTTCCTTATTTCGGGTAACTAGGATCGATTGAATCAGAATTATATTCATACACTAGTATCATTCAACGTCTTCCAGTGAAAAAACATCTATTGGTCATTATGTTTGTATGTATTAAGTACTTGATGAATGTACATAGGTGGAAGGGCACAGTCGAGGGCTGAAGAATCCGTTCCGCTCTTTAAGGGCATTAAAGTGCGTCTTCTCGCGATATTTCCACGTCTTAAAAGAAATCATGAAGTAAATTTTTGTTTGATTACAGTTGTTTTGAATGACAAAGCATTTGTATGTTACACATTTCCATATCGAAAGTACTTTTTCTATATGGTTATGAACTTCAACTTCTATAAACAAGTGTTAATTGTTCCTCTCCTACAGGTCACCATCATACGCCACAAGGATTTCTATACACTTTCAAATATGCCTGTTAACAACACGGTGGCGCTTCACGCTGACTGGCGTCGAGATCAGTTTCAACCGAGTGTAAAGATGTCTTCATATCTGTTGGCATTTGTAATTTGCCAATTTCATGGACTTCGTGCTGTGGATTCAAAGGGAAGAAATGTGAGTAGTATGGAACTGAGTAGGCTTTTTCAAAGTATTTCCTGCTTATATCAGTGAGTATTTATTTATTATCCTGGTGTGTGAAGTAAGAATATTTGTGGATTTGAAAGGTACAGTCGGTTCTGTATGACGTTACTTTCTCTCTCTCTTTCTGATATCATCATACAAATGCCCAGGTGATATTTCAAGATGGTGAGTGTCAGGTAAGGGCAGGTATGTGGTGCATACTTTTAATTCCAATGTTATACAGGCGGATAACTATAATTCTGTGTTTGTAAAGCATTCACTTGGTAACGAAAATTAAACAAACACGTTATGTTGACGAATGACTACGTGTGAACGAAAATGACAATGTTACAGTAAGGTGAGAGGTGTCTGACTCATCGTATGTGTTTATCACAAATCCACATCTGGTTTCTGACTATCAGTAAATATCTTAGTTACTTTATGAGGAGGTCATCTCATTCTCCTAAAATATTCATCTGTTTCATTACTTTATGTTCTTAGAATTTAATTGTGATGAGACTATTTGAGTCCTTGTAGATTTCAGTAGACTTGATATTACAAAGTAACAGTTTCATCTTTCATCAGCTAAGTCAAAGTATAGAGATTGTCTCACAAATGGTGATTATTATTATTAAATTATTATTATTATTCACTTGGGTTCTCAGTGGAACATATGGCTTAAACAACAGATCTCCACTTCGTTCCGTTTTCTCCCGTCTTCTTCACACGGGTCCTGGATCAGCGACAATCTCTCATCTCTTCCTCACACGATCTCCTTCACGTCACCCTAGGACGACGCACTCGTCGCTTCCCATTCGGATTCCGTTTCAAGCTTGAGGAATTTTCTTCATAAAATTTTCTGCTTGTGTTTTTTAACACATCTGAAGTTGGGTGATATACAAAGCACTGTTCATTGTCTTTTCCATTTAATCAGTTTACTGTCTGGGCAAGACCAGAGAAAATTGAATCAGCCAGGTATGCTTTGGATATCGGTAGAAGAATTCTTACATTCTTTGAAGATTACTTTGGAGTGCCTTATCCACTTCCGAAAATGGGTAAGTATTTTCTCTGTTTTGTTCTTTTCTTCTCTTCATTCATCTCTGGATGGGAGGGGAATTATTCCGGAATTGGCTGAATATCATAACTTTCACTTCATTGTCATCAGATACACCTTCTGATTTATTGATTTACTTATTGATTGTATTATTTCAATCCTTTGCATTTCTAGTGGAATATAGGGCTTCAACCCTGGAGCATTTTGAAGCTTCAGTAGTAGTGTTGTTGATTTTTTGCTGGTTGTAAGGTTCCCAGCTGAACCTTATTCACAGGGACTACTATTGGTTATGAGAGGTTATCAAGTTCGTCGACCGGCGTTCGAGCCAGGTTCACTTTCGGTTTAGTTGGTGAGTATTTTACCACTGCACCAACAGATGCCTGTTTCAATAAAGTGTAAAGAATGATTGAAGTGGTATATTGACGATATCCGGTGAGAACAATGAAATAAATTGTGGAAAAACACCCTCCTTTGAATTCTTTGTAAGGTTATTACTAATGATTTAGATTCTTTATTGTTGGTGTTGTCATCATCTTGCACATGTTTGACATACGTGTCGTCATTACTATTACTATTATTATCACTATTATTATTATTATCATTATCACTATCAGTGCTATCATTATTTATTTGATTTTTACATTTCCCTACATACTCGCTGACTAATATATCAGGGTAATTATTACGTTTAAAAGCTTCTCTTATATGCTTCACTTCGCGTCTTAGATTTTCTTTGGTACTACCTAGTTTTTTTTGCTCTATTACTGAAATATTTCAACAATCCTGTGTTTATTGACATAGGATGGACTGACTGGAACCAATAAATAATGATAGTAGTGATACTGATAATGGTAATAATATGAATAATAATAGTAATAGTAATGACAACACGCATTTTAAACATGCGTAAGATGATGACAACACCAACAATAAAGAATCTTAATCATCAGTAGTAATTCCATACAAGGAAGGAACCTCGGAAACCTTACGCAGAATTTTTAACAAGGCAGCAATAAAAGTGGCTGGCATTCAAACCAACCACAAACTCAATCAGAAACAAGCTTTGTCGGTTAAAGGATCCCGCCAGTAGAACCTTTAGAACAAAACAGTTTAGTTTATCTAATACCCTGCCTGCAATGATTGTCAAGTCAAATACATGGGTCGAACTAGTAAAACAGGTGCAGTCAGTAAGACTAGCCGAACATAAAAACCTAACAGCAAAATCCAGATTAGCTGACTCGAAAAAGATAAGAAATCTAGAGGAAAGTTCAGCTATACCACTCACTACATGCAATTACACACACACACACAACCATACAATAGGCTGGATGGGATAGGATGACAGTTTTGCAATCCAATGTGACAGCTGAGTGGAGGGAGAAATTGATAAGTGACTGTGGCTTTCAGGATTTCATCATGAGCTGACATTAGTTAGAGAACCATTGGAAAACCTGGGAGTACTGGACAGCTGTTTCGTCCTAGTTTGGGACTCTTCTTCAGCACGCACCCACCACCATGGTTCGAACCCAGGACCTTCTAGGTACAAGGCGAGCTCGTATACCATAAAGCCACTGGGACCCGGTCCAATGGTACTTGAATTCTAACTTCTGCCAATTCACGACATAGTGCGACCGCTAGCCAATGTCTTCGGCGAGTATTTGTCCTCACACCTGACCCGCTGCACCCTATTGGTCACGACATCCCACTGGAACCCAGGTAACTTCCTACCTGAATAGGGCTAGTCGCTTTATTTAATTAATCAACTGCAAACACGTGTAATGGGAATGATTCGACACCTATCCAGCTGGACATCTGGAAAATTCTACTACCCCAACCACGACAAATAAAAGAGAACAAAGAAAACTATAAAACTCAGGTTTTGAAGTCATATCATCATAACCGATATGATACTGAACAATAATAAATTGATTTTGAAACTGTCTTTCGGTAAGTAATACTGTTTCACCAACTGTGTGATATATCTAATAAACGAACTAATATGGAATTACTTACTACTACAGTGGCCAAGTTTTACACATATATTAATGTGACACCAATATAGAAAAGCTTTCCGAAAGATCATTTTTGATTTTCCTAATATCCTAGGATTATTTCAAACGAGTAGTATAATATATCGTTCAGACTCGGCGCTCAAATTCTTCTAGAGAATTTGCAACAGCTATGATCAGGAGAACTACAAAAATAATTAGGCGGCGTGGTTCCCTAAAGTTACCTTCAGAATAATGAAATAAAGATTGTGTACTGAGAAGCTTACTCGGAATTGTTTTTATTCGTTTGTATTTGAATTTAGATTTGATTGCAATTCCTAATTTTAAACATGGCGCAATGGAAAACTGGGGTCTAATAACATTTCGTGAAAGTGCACTGTTGTGGAATCCGTATACTGATTCAGCTGAATTGAAGGAATATGTGACAGTTGTTGTTACTCATGAATTATCTCATCAAGTAATGACAATTTCATTGAATTTTGGCTTTTCTGGTCGATTGATTGGACTGAAGTGCTCAGCCTCAGGCTGACATGTCGGCTTCTTGTGCAGAAGCTTCGACGATGTCTGGGCATTAAATTAGTATTTAATTGTTGATAGTGACTAGCAGTGGAATCCAGGATGCGCATTTCGTCCTATTTGGGATTCGTCGTCATCTGGGTGAACATGCATTTCCCAGTGAGTGATGATTTTCCCACCAAAGCTCGAACTCAGTGACCGCAGCACAAGAGGTGGCTCTCGTGGCCCAAGTGGTCTAGTGGATAACGCTTTGGCGTTTGAAACCATGGTCACTGGTTCGAGCCTCGGTGGAACATCATCACTCAATGGGAAATGCAGGTACATCCCACTGACGAGTCCAAAATAGCACGAAACCCGCATCCTGGATTCCACTGCTAGTCACCACCCACCAATTAAATGACAATTTCAATTTGATTAAATTGTATTTTTCTGTTGTGTATGTATAACTGTGATCTACTCTAGTGTTGTTTGTTTCAATGTAGCATCGATGAAATGCTACACGATATATATTACTGATTGATGTGAGTAATAAGTGGTCATTGTCATTAGTCACCCAATGCTCGTTAGTATAGGTGAATTAACCTAAACAAATTAGTCAGTTCTGTTTTGGTGGCGAATCACCAGTGTTTACTCTTGGTGTTTTGAAACTACTTATATTAACCAGTAGTATAGTGAATGAACCTAAACGAAGATCGGAGTGTGGAAACTAACTGCCATCTGAATTTTTATTCATTTGTCCCTTGATCGGAAATACTTCTGGAACTGTCTTACCCAGTTACTTTAAATACACGAATGTACAGCCTAGTTGATGAATTCATCTTAAAAAAACTTTCCTCACTCCAAGCGTCCGTTTAATTTAATTAGTAGTATATGTGTAACGACAGAAAACAAGGACCAGGCAGCAGATCATTTATTGAAAAAATCAACAGATATTTATAGATTTTCATGTACATAATTATTAGCGTTATTGTTAGCAGAGAGGTGACGTCTTCTGATTGATCGATTTCCTGCTGAAGATTATTCTGTCATCTCCGTTTGTGTTGCCGTTTCTTAGATAGTCCGGTGATATATCTGTGAATCATATCCATTTAAGCTAATTCTGCTGTGATTGGTTGTTGAGTTCCTCAAGGTTCAGCTTTGTTCTTGTTTTCTCTCATGACTCCGATTTGGGAGGTGAACATTGACGTCAATTGTTGTCTACAATTTTTGTGGCTTGCAGACAGCTCTCACCACATATACATATACACTGCAGGAAGGTGACTATGACTAACTTTCACATTAGATAGGGAAAAATAAAAAAAGATTTATTTTGGCGTGAGTGAATATTAAACAACAGCATTTTACATTCTTTCTGTTTTCAAATTTTAGTGGTTTGGTAACTTAGTGACGATGAAGTGGTGGAACAACCTCTGGTTAAATGAAGGTTTTGCAAGTTTTCTTGAATACACTGGCACAGACTTTGTTCAACCACACTGGAAATACGTAGGTCGCTGCTTTATCCTAATTATTTCTTATATAATTTAGTAATTCCTATTGCAGCATTAAGAACACAATATTCAGCGAAGAGGCTCTTTTCAACGAATTTATCATCAAGCTGTACACCCGTATATATATGGTTTTATAAAGAAATTATATCCGGTGAGGGAATTATGTCAAAGGTGTGAATACATGAAATAGTAATAGTATTAAAATTCAATTAAAATATTTGTGATTACAATCATAGTTTCAAGTAAAGTGGCAAAATAATTAATGGCATATATAGAATAATACATAAGGTGTATAGATGTTGTTGTAAAGGGGTACATAATTATAGGATTAGCGGGCGAATATAAAATGTTACATAACATGGTGAGAAATTTGATAAGATAGAATTCAATATTGTAAAAATAAAAATTATAAAAATTAATAATTTTGGTTTAAAATGACAAGTGGGTTAAGTGGAAAAGATTCAGAGTGAGAATAGTAATAATGATGATAATAACAATAATAATCGTAGTAATAAGGGAAAAGTACAGAGAATAACTAAATAAACGAAATCAATAAATGTCTGTCTCTCTACGGCCAAGGCAGAAGTAGGCATTGCATATATTTCTTTAGTACACAAATGTTTGGCTTGAAGTCATGAATTGCCATGGAACACCTGACCGACTTCTGTCATTCGGTCAACCCTGACCATAATTTGAAGATCTTCGATCGAATTAATGCTAAATTCCCACGTTTTCTTCGCTACAGACTTCTAAAGACAGCTGAGGCCTTGGCAATCCATGACTTTAAGCCAGACTTTTGTGAACAAAAGAAGTATGTACAAGAGTTGAGCTGTTTGTCATGCCAGTTAGATTGAAACTGATATTTCCACCACCAAACTATAATTAATACAATATCTTTTATGCCAAACAGGATGAACAGTTCATTTTTAACGGTTTGCAAAGAGCAATGACCTCAGATGCCTCGATAGAATCTCATCCTGTTATTAATTCAGCTAACTCTCCAGACGAGATCGAGGACATTTTTGATACAATAACATACAGTAAGGTTAGTTTGACATTATTTATGGTTGACATTTATTTATGAGCGCTTTTTTATAAAACAGGTAGAGGTAAAGCGTTATTGTACAGTCTGAGTAAGTTGTAAATGTTAGTATCTGATGTATTGTGACCGCTTGAAAGTCGGTTATTGCGAGGATAACACGTAATCAGAGAAACAGCTATCCTCACATGGTTGTAAATGATCAGCAATCCTCTCTACCTTCAGTTCTTTCTATCAGAAGATAAACTGATACCAATATTAAATGCTCAACTATACAACCAGTAAAGTCAAAGAAACAATGACCACTTGCATATAAAGTGACAAAAATACTCAAAGTTTCTATATGGAGGTGGAATTTTAATAATTTTCAATCTCACTTTGATCTTAAACGGTTAGTCCGGATTTAGTTGTGTTGGATCTAGTTAACAGACTTAAAACTGCATGTATTTCGTCGGGGATTTTCATCCGATAAGAAATTTTATATTTTCGAGTCATAGGCTCAATCGAACAAATATCATAGTGGCTGTAAAATTTACTTCCCAACATGTGAACTTTTCAATTATAAGTAGTGTAATACGGAGGAGCTCCAAAAATGGACTGTACTGATATCCAGGTAGTACAATTTCTACAGGAACACACCTGATACATGAGGAGAAAACATGAGGGGTAAGCGAACTGATGGAACCTGAATGACACTTTATCTATGATGTATGCAGAAGAAGTCATTTTCCTGGAAGTGTTTCAATGCAGTGTGTGTTTGTGTGTGGCATTTTATGCATGCTGATGGTATCAATCTATACGAATCAGTGTTGTTCAATGGTGTGGTTGTCGGCGGGAATACAAGAGTTTGTTAAGTTGATATCTGGTAACCAGAAGCCTGAAAGGTGGGAAACAGCACCGGATCAATTCAAAAAGAGTGGACTGCTTTATTGTTTGAATTGGGAGAGTATTGGATTTATAATGCTTACAAAATGTGAAATATGGGGAATTTCCGGAACACATAAGTCCCACTAACGAGACTTTAAATTGATTATAGGCTGTGGGATTGTTTATTTCGCCAAAGTGGCGTATCACAAATGCCTTCTCAGGTGCATTTGCACTGCAGATGCTGCGATATAAATAAAAAAATGAAATCGGAGTGTTTAACAATAATAATAATAATAACAGCTTTATTCCAAACGGTATTTGTGATACAGGTATGGAATTTTTAGCGTGCATTACAATATATTGCATCTAATTACCTAATAAATTTTATAAGATTTTTAAAATCAAAAATAAATAAATAAAAAAACCAAAGCCAAAAAAGATATATAAAAAAACAGCGTAGCGTTTACATTTCAAACAATGCACCACAGGATATGACATATAAAGTTGATGTGTGATAGAAGATGAGGAAAACAGTGTAATAGTAACGAGGAAAGGAAAACAAAATCCAATGGGGCTATTTGTTAGAGTGCCGCAGTAAGTTGATCGTGTCATACCTCGTGTCATACTCGATATGTGATTACGTAATATTTCTTTTCACAACAATAAAATCAGTTTATATAATGGTGTAAGGGTTTGAACTGGTGTATTCTGTGGTGTTAAAATAAACGAGCAAGGCTTTAGACATACTGTTTGTGTGCACAATATTTCATGAATTACAGTCTTCTATGCTTTACCAATTTACAGGGTGCTTCGTTAATCCGGATGATGAAGTCATTTCTTGGAGATGATGTCTTCTTAAATGGCTTGAAGGTGAGTTACGTTTCGATTCCTTACACAAAAAGCATTTGTTTCTTATGCGTTTGAAAACTGGACGTAGTTGAGGTGCTTTATATTTGGCCAAAGTGTATCTTTTTAACTCTGCATACTGTTTTGTACTAATCTAGTAGTAGACGCGAGCATCACTCGACAACTTCGTCAGCTTTATCATTTCCGTAAATTTCCATATAAAATCATCACTCTACGTGTAGTTTTCTGTCATCACTGGTAGTTTGTAAACAAACCAGCTAGGCGTCTTATTTTTCAAAAGTATCAGACATCTGCAAATGCGCTTTGCAAAGTGGACAGTTCCCTTCACTGATTCACCTTCAGGTAACCTAAATTTTATTCTCGACTTAAAGGGGTTGATTGTTAGGCAGACCTACAGATTTGAATCGACCACTTGTCTTGTTTTAATTGATTCTCTGATGGCGGTCATTCATAAATATTTAATTGATAAACATTACACAACAGGTGATTTAGTTAAATTGAGTTTAGTTGAAAAGAATGTGGTTTTTCAGGGAGAGATATATGAAAGTGGCGTATGTGAGACTCTACAAGTATGAGAACTGTAGAATGAGTATATGATAATATTAAATAGTTAGTAGTGACTAGTTGTGAGTAGCATCTTTCATTTTTACAGGTGCCTTAGATGGCATCTACTTCATATGAGCCTAAGTGGAAGTCAGTAGTCAAAAGCAGCATTAGGAAAACTGCATTTACATGTTACAACTTCAGGTTGGTTAATATTCACAATGTCACTTTTCTTTATTTCCACAAGATCTACTTACAAGAAAACAAATATAAAAATACGGACGAAGAAGATCTATGGAAGGCGTTGGATCGTGTAAGTCTCTGCTTTCAAATAACTAACAACTTACAGTAAATGTTTTGATATTTTGATGAGAAATGTATTTTTTGCTGATACAACAGACTTTCATGTCGTTTACAAGTTGCGGTGATTTTCTTCAATATAATAATCATTATTATTGTTTCCTTTAGTTCCTAGAGGAACATAGGGCTTCAGACGCATGTTTCCATTGCGTTCGGTTCTCTGCCAACTTTTTCACCTGGCTCCACGTCTGCCCACATGCTTTCATTTCCTCTTCGCACGACCTCCTCCTCCATGTCACCCTGTCACCGATGCTCAACTCGCCGCTTCCCACTCGGGTTCAACCAGAGCGATGACCTGGCGTGTGATGTCACTTGATGGTTTGTCTTGTCAGAATATGGTCAGCCAATCCACCTTCATTTCTTCCTGCTTATTTGACGCACAATGATTCGGCTGGGTTGGTTCGCTCATTGCCAGAAATCCCTCTCTGTTGCTGATCTTTTCTGGCCGGCCATCTGATCTTGAGTAGTATTGAGAGAAGACAGCTGTTGATGAGGGTGTGTAGTTTGTTCAAAGTGTCTTTAGTGACGCTACTTGGCGCCAAGTCTCTGATCTGTGTGATAGCACTGAATTCACACTGAAGTTGAAAATCTGGATCGAATTTTTCATGCTGAGTGTTGTTGATCTCCACACAAACTTTTGAGAAATGAAGGCCTGCCTTGCTTTACCGATTTTCGCTTTGATATCCTCATCCGTTCCACCTGCCTGTAGTTGAAACGACGATGCTTCCCAGGTGGGTAGGATTTCTCCCAATAGTGCCGGCTGATTGTTGTCTGTTGTTGTTTCTGTTGCTGTCGGTCACAAATCTTCATCACCTCTGTTTTCTCTATGTTAGCCTGAAATCCCTCCTATCTTTGATGCTTCTTCTGTCAACTTGTTGTTTTTCACTTGTAAATCTTCCAGTTTGTAGGAAATCAGACATATATTATCGCCGAAGTCGAATCCCCGAGTTTTTTGTGTGGGTCCATTTTATGCTTGTCTTCTCGTTGTCCTCTGTGAATCTGTCTCTTATTCAGTCTACCGAAATCAGGGCAACCATTGGAGATAGAAGGCAGCTAGCCAGCTTGTCTTACTCCCGTCTTCACTTCGAAGGATTCCGTAAGTTTCTCATTGTGGATTACTTGTCATGCAGCATTGTCGTGCAAGTGTTGGACGAGGTGTATAATTGTTGGCGGTACTCTACAGTAGCGAAGTAGCTTCCAAATTACCTCTCGATCGACGCTGTTGAAGGCCTTCTCAAAGTCAATGAGATTGAGTGAGATAGAGAGCTGACTGTCATTCCAAGCTCTTTTCAATGATAATCGTAGTGTTGCAATTTGATCGATGCATGACTTGTTCCTCCTGAATCCAGCCTTATCCGGTTGAAGTTATTCATAAAATGACGAGGTGTATGGGCAAAAGTAACTCATACAGAGAAACTTATAGAAAGTTACTAAGGATGATAGTGGTTACTGTTTTCATAATTTAGTGGATTTGTTCCTCATAATTAATCATCATAATACCAGATTGTTGCAGCTTTTGTGGGCATAATTAAACTTTGCAGTGCGTAGAACAAGCTAGAACAGCTGTCTGTCATCTACAATTTATTGGAATTCACGTAAGATTACTGTATCCACATACATAAAAATCAACTGAAACAAATATCTGGATCGAACTTTTACTTCATTAGAGATCTCTTGCATTGTCTGGATCAGGGATGAACTATTTATCAATAAATCTGATAATATAGATGCATGAGATTTAGTCGATCATGCCTAAATTAGAGCAGCCTACCAGGGGAATCGAAGATGAGCATTTCATTCTATTTGTAGCCCATCGTTCCGATGGAAGCGCACCGCCTACATTCAACTGAAGCGTTGAATAATAAGATGATATCCATTCCATGAATTTATATGCCAGTCACCATCAAACTATTGTGGAACGTATTTCTATTTGAGCAATTAATGGTTCGTGGTGTATTTTATGCTAGTGAAAGTCTCCTCAAAAAAAGTAGTTGATCGTGAGACACCAGAATGGAAATTAGAGGATTACGTTTAGATATCATATTCGCTTTCATGCTTAGAGTAAAACTAGATTGTGGTAACATTGTCATGAATTATAATCCATGAATACTTGAATCAATATGCCAGTAATGTGTGAGATGTTACTGTAGTGATTAACACTACATCCAAAAGGTGTTTCATTTCACTAAATTTAGAATTATTCGCATTTTCTGTCCTATCTCAATTAAATCAAGAATTGAAGTGTAGTTTGGCAAATCAATTATTCGGCGATTATTTCTATTTATTGGTGTTATACTACTTTGATATCAGAAAGAGGTAAGCTACCCTAGGAACTGTTTGGAATTCACTCATAAAATACAATTCCAATGAACACGCTGAAAGTAACCATTTTCTTAAATACTATACTGCATTAGGCTCTTATGATTGAAAATACGTGTACAGTTCCACTGTTATGAGATCTAGTTTTGAAATTTTAGGCGGTCAAAAGTGTCAATAAAGACATCGACATCAAATCAATCATGGATACTTGGACAAAGCAAATGAATTATCCAATTTTGATTGTTAACCGAAGTGATTCCAACACCTTCGATTTCAAACAGATTCATTTCTATGAGTCGTCTAATGATACTCTTTCGCCATCCCCATACAAGTGAGTGGAGTTTTTTTCATCAATTTCTTCCATCTCGCCAAATAGATGATGGTGCCTTGTTGGATTTTATGTAACATTTTATCTCGATTTCTCGTCAGTAATAGGATGGATATAGAAAGTCTCATTCCAGAATTCATGAGGTAGTAAAGGGATGCATCATTTGAAATTCTTCTATAATTTGCTGATTCACAGCAAAATATTCTAACTGATTAAAAATGTCCATTAAAATTTTCAAAGTATACTCCTTTCGACAACCTCCTTTTCATCAGGTTCTACAGTTATATACACATAATATGGAACGAATGAATTAGTGCTATTAACAACAATAATGTTTAAAGAACATCGAATCAATAACAATAATTATATCAGTGGATTACAGTTTGATAGCATCAACAACATAACAATACACTGAATATCAGTTAAATTAGGAAAAATAAAAGTACTACAAATTCATGAATTAATAGTCTTTACTGAAGGCCGGATAAGGCAGTAGTAGTGGCTAGCTGGACCTGTTTCTTCTGAGCACAAAGCACAGGTTGTTTCAGGAGAATCGCGATAGTCTCTGCTGTTTGGAGCATGTGGTACTTCGATGTTTTTGGCAATTTATCTGGCAGCCAGTGGATGATAGATAAGGATTCTTCAACGATTGCTTTATGGCCGGTTCGAACCAGGTGGTCTAATATCGAACTGTTCCTACACCTTTATTTGGCCAAACTGGTAGATATTTCCAGGTGGTCACGAAAAATCAAGTTCCTAGAGTAACGGCCGATATAAGCGCAGTTGAATTCGTAGATGCAGTTAGAAGTGGCTAGTCTAGGTACTTCATCTTTCAATCGAGGAATGACCACCGGTCGTGTAGAAAGTAAGACTGGTAATTTACCAGAATTAAAAGTTCTTTAAACTGATTTTCTGAACTTCTTCGTAATTATTTCGCTAGTTTGATCGCCCTTGAATTCCAGTCATTTGTATTCAGGCTTCTTATTTACAGATGGAGAATAGTCCTTTTCTGCTTTCTTGGTTATGTCTTTGCTGATGAGTTTGTCTGGATAGCTATTTTCAATCAAGGTATCATATACAATCCTTATTTCATTTTCAGTTACCTCTTCTGAGCAAATAGGTCTAATCCTGTGGCTGAGGGTCATTAATAAATTTCTTTTGTACTTGAGAGGAACGAAGCTGTGAAAATGTGTCCTGTCCTTGTACTCTTCGAATGAATTCAAAGCTATCACTGCTTATGAATCTCCCATAAATGGCATGTGAAAACGAAGTTTGGTTAGTTTGCAGTAAATGGGAAGTGGGAGGGTTCTGTCACCTGTCAGAAATAGTTTGAAATAGAGAAAAAACTTTGCACTTTGATGAGGGATTATTTAGAAGAGTGAAAAGTACTCCTACTACTCTGCAGTCAAACATTTGCACTAGCAGATGTTTGTTTTGTTGCATAACTGTGTAACAGAAGAACAGTTCCTTATGATATGCACACTCAGATATATAATGAATGGAGAAGACTTCTTCTAAAGCCAAATTATTCAATATTAATTTACCGGTCATTTGAATAGTTCATTTGAAGAAATATGAAGCTTGGAATGCTCTACATGAAAATTGTAGTATGGAGATGTAAGTCGCAATTCTTAAATGCTCATCAGAATGGATCAGACTGGCTGGAAGAAGCAAAAATTAGGTGTGGTAATCTGATGGGCAGTATATATCATATCAAATTGGATGTACCCTTTTGGGTAATTTACCGAGTATCGAGTTATCTGTCTCAAAGGTAAACAGATTCATCTCATTTACTTGACGAAATCGTGTGTAGTACAGAAATAATATTAGAACAAGACATATAAGAGCACAATATTGTTGTTTTCAATCACATCTTCTTCAGGCTTTACTCTAATTTACATAGACTTATATATATATATAATGTTAACCAATGACGGTGATTTTGTGGATCAAATAATAATAATCATAATAATAATACTAATGTGGTTAGGTGAACTCCTCCAACCATTACACAAGATGGTAGTAAGTCATAGTGTTAAAGACGTCTTTGAATATATTGCTAACGTGGATGATATCAATGTAAATGGGAAGCAAATGCTTTCCTTAGATGTAGCATCACTGTTTACCAATGTACCACTTATGGAGACTGTGGAATTCATATGCCAACAGATACTAGAAAGTTTGAAGAGAGACAGAACGAACATGTTCGCAGGATAATACGAGCTCGTTTTATTTCGTGGATACTCATCAACTGCATACATCCTAAACAAAATCAAATTATAAGTTTCAAAAAACTTTTGGAACATACTTTTTCATAATTACTTGGAGTTATAAATAGAAGGTATAAGGAACATAATTCCGGAATTTGATGTCGGTAGACAGATTATTCGGTGTCAAATAAAACTAATTATATATAGTGGAATTAGATAAGAGGGTTTAGAGTTCAGATTACTATTGGGAAACGCAGATTGGTTAGAGGCATATTATAGGGTCAAGGTCAGAGAACAGAGTGAATTTACACATGTGGTGGAGAGTTTAAGAGGGTGGGGGTGAATAGTGAGGTAACAGTGAAGTAAGTAACAAAAAACAAAAATAAATAAAATAGGATTAGGGTTACCAGGTTAGTGAAAGATTAGTCACACTATCTTTCTGTGTACAGAGGTCTGGTCGAAGTCTCTTGATAGCGATGGCTTCTGCAAAACGAAGTAGCCATGGGTTTCTTTGCGTATTGATTATTTTGAAGGCATGGCTGATTTCTACTGTGTGTCTTGTGTCAATTAAATGTCTGGCGATTGCACTCGATAACACTTTTCTTCCTTTTGTATGGAGGCTCTTAGGAAAACAGATCGACATCGGAATACCGGTTGGTAGTCTGAAAGAGTTGCTTTTAAGATGTACTATAAATGTACATTTCATATTCAACAACCTTTACTACAGGCAAATCGACGGTATTGCCACGGGTTCTCCGTTGGAGCCAATTTTAGCAGATTTCTTTCTTGCCAAGATTGAAAATGGTCCATTGAAAAAAAGTAATAGAAAAAGCTGATTCTTACTTTCGTTATGTTGATGATGCGTTTATTATTCTTGATGTGAAAGCTGACAAGAATGAAATGTTAAAAAAGTTTAATGATGCACATCCATCGCTTATCTTCACTTGTGAAGAAGAATATGATGGTGGACTACATTTCCTTGATGCCCAATTGAGCAGAAGAGAGGATGGTTCACTCAAGAGAGATGTCTATAGAAAACCTACATCTGTAGGACAATATACACATTTCCTCAGTTTTGTACCAATCCGATACAAAGTCAATTTGGGCAGATGCCTGACGAATAGAGCAAGACGTATCTGTACAGATGACTCCCTGGAGAATGAGCTAGGATACATCCAAAATACGTTAGTCCAAATGGGTTATCCTAGTAGATTTGTAAGGAGACACATGAATGCCAAGTACAATAAAGTAAAACCGACAACAGTTAAAAAGAAACAACTGTTCGTGAAACTGCATTTTAATGGGGACGTGGCTAGTGAAGTCACACATCAGAGATTATCGAGAGCGATAAAACGGACTTATACTGCCGCCACCCTCTGTTTGTCATTTTCCAGTCGACCAATTTTGATTACTAAAGTGAAAGATGAGCTACCTAGTTGTGCCACTTCCATGTGTATATATAAATTTAGTTGCTCCTGTGGAGAAAGCTATATAGGCCGAACAACTAAACAGCTTAACAAACGCATTAATGAGCATCTTCCTTCATGGTTCGGAAAAGATAAAATAAAATCCATACGAAGTTCTATTTTGGCTCATTTGATTGATAGTGGTCACCAGGTGGACAAAAATAATGCTTTCAAAGTTATTTACCGCATTCCATCGAGTCTTTCGAACGGAATCAGAACCCGTCTTTTACACTTAGCCGAAGCTATGGGAATTCGAGAGAACAATCCCAGTCTTTGTATACAAAAGAAATTTGTTCTACCTTTGTCTCTCCCTTGTTTGCCTAGGTGAATTCTATTCAAAACCCTCCCACCTTTTCTTATCATCCATCTCCTTCGCACTTTTATGATATTTATTTAAACTCTGATTATCGTTCCATTTGATTTGACCTAGTTTATTTATTTATTGAATTGTCTACATATATGCATATACTAACTTTGTTATTCCTATCACCTATATAAGCCTTATTATCAATATTTTGTTATTATTATAATTATCGTTATTAACTTCGTTCAAAACATTTACCACATTAGTATTATTATTATGATTATTATTATTTGATCCACAAAATCACCGTCATTGGTTAAAATTTTATATATATAAATAAGTCTATGTAAATTAGAGTAAAGCCTGAAGAAGATGTGATTGAAAACAATATTGTGCTCTTATATGTCTTGTTCTAATATTATATATGGGAGTACAGAAATAAGCCGAAATTATGCTGCTTGTTAGGTGAATTGAACTACTGCGTATTCATCGGTGTACTATGAAGCCAATAACTCACAGATGGTCGACTTCATATAAAGTTGTGTTCATCAACTTTTTAGTTCTTTATCAGCTACCCATTCTTATAAGATAATGACTCTCTGTTATCTATCACAAGGTAATTAATTCCTTCTATCTATCTATCTATCAACAGTCAACCATCAGCAGTATGCACCAGTCAGGGTTCGGACCCAGGAGGTTCTGGTTAGAAGGCGAGCTCGTAGACCATTAAAACACTTGGAACCGATCACATGACCCATGAATTCTAATTGATTAGTTGGCAGTTGTTAAAACCCTGGATTTCTTTGCTTCATTTTTAAAAGATGCAGTTAAATTTTGTTCTGGCTAAAATCCACTTATCAGTTTTTACGTCCGGTCACTTCTCCATATACGGAAATGGAAGAATCCTGTCGAAAATCCTCGTTTATAAACATGTGAAGTGCTACATAGTTGAATTTCAAATGAATCGTCAATCTTTATAAAACAGAAGAGAATGTATAGCATATTTCACAATCATTTTTGCTTTCACATCTGGTAGAAAAACGAAAAAATGTTTTGGTGTCATTTATTTGAAATTTTGTTTACTTAGTTTCACTTGGAAAATCCCCATTACTTACACGACAAAGGATGGGTCAGCGAATGAAATCATATGGATGAACAACGGTAAGTAGTGCTGTATGCTGTATGCTATATTAATACTTGTAATGGTCACAAGTTCAATAAAACAATCCATTACCTACCTACCTACCTATCCACCCACCTGTTCGTCACTTTGTAGTCGAATCCCACTCCACGTCCTGGTATGTGACATCAATGAATCCTTCTTCGGTGTACGTTCAATTCACCTGCATTTCTTCCTGAATATTTGTTGGACAGTAGGTTCTTGGTTATTTGCCTCCCTCAAAGAGATTGTTGATGCTTATTCTTTCTGGCTATCTGTCTGGTCTTCATTGTCGAGTGGAGGCAGGTGTTGATGAAGGTTTAAAGTGACATGTTGGAGATACCTGTGGTGACGCACCAATCACTGGACCACATAAAAGCGCTGACTTGACAGTGGTGTTAAAAATCCAGATGTCGTATTTTTGTGCTGAGTGTTTATTTGTGTGTGTGAATCTTCAAATTGATTTCAAGGTAATGAACACCTGTCATGTTTTTCTGATACTGACTTCGATACCTTCATTTGTGACCCATATAGTTGAAAAATACGCCGATTGAATCATTAATTCACACAGTTTTACTACAACTAGAGTTCGTATTCAGAAATTTAGAAGAGAGAGAAAAGTTCAAGGGAATAAATTTCCTTTTTAATACACCACTTAGTAACTGGTGTCATGTGTCCAGTCCTTTGTTTGGTGCAGTCTGAATTCTATCAGTCAAGTTTGCAATAGGGCCAACATGCTACTAGGTGGCTCGCCATCACTGAGCACTTTGAATTGTTGATATTAGTTGGTTAGAGGTAATCGGCAACAGGAAGCCTTACTTGACCTAGGTTTCGTGCTAGTTGACACCCATCAGTCAGGAAGGCGTATCTGAAACCTTGAAGGAACTCATGTCTCTATAATTACATATATTATTATTATTGCTCCCTTGGGTTCCTAGTGGAACATAGGGCTTCAACTGCACGTCTCCATTTTCTTCTGTCTTCTGCTATACTTTTCGCCTGCCTCCATGTTAATCCATCTTCTTTCAACTCCTCTTCACACGATCTCCTCCATGTCACGCTTGGACGTCCCACACGCCGCTTCCCTTTCGGGTTCCACTCGAGGGCTTGGCGCGCGATGTCACCCAGCGGTCTCCTCAGTTAGTGTCCGATCCATATATATATATATTCTATAATAATCGTCACTGATAATAATGATACTTTTTCAATAATATCGATTTGTTAGGATCAATGGAATTACAGTTCAAGGGAGATGCATAATTTATTATGAGCATTGAAAATGTAATACTAAATAGAATATCGTATAAGGTTAAGAAAATGCATAGGAATTAAGGATAGTTAAAACACTGATGAAGAAAGCAAGAGGGAGCATATGAACTAAATTATTTCGGATTCATAAGATGGTCTTCTTAATGTAGATTCCGACGGCTTCAGTAATATATAACAGAAGAACTCTTGACATAAAATTAAGGTTTGTCGGAATACAGTAGATAACTTTCAGAGCATCGTAAACATCAATTTTGTGTTCTGTATCCACGAGATGAGATATATAATAGAGTTATGAATGGACCTTGTTTTTCTTTGCTTAACCACGCAGGATGGTGTTAGGAAATCCGATGATAAACACGCCTAACTGTACGCCCTATGATAGTGACTCCACAGGAACAGTCAAATTGATAGATTTACACAGAAGAGGCAAAATTAGGTAAAATAGGGGTGGTTATAAAGAGACAGCGGCAACGAATGAACGTTTCACTGCATTACTCAGAAGCTGCGCTATTATTAATTGCTGGGGTCGTCATTGAGGAGATGGATTTGTAAGGACTGTTTGTACTCTTACTTGCCTTGAATTCACATTCATATTGTTGTCGATGAATTTCTCTGGGTATTCGATTTTACTCATCAGTTGTTTATTAGTAGTGAGCTCTTCATTAAGACATTTATCAGAGTAGATTTCTCTTACTTGGGAGATAAAACGCTTTATTAGATTGCGTTTATATAGACACTAAAATAAAACATTTAGGGATTAATACAATATGAAAGTCTTAGTTCCTTTGTTTATGCTGTTTTCAATTATACTGTGATGAAGGTTGGCTGTTAGTCAAAATTGGTGGACAGTAATTTACGTCAATATTTATGTCCCAAATATTGGTCGTGAGAAAATATGAACAAAGACTTATTCAACAACCAACCACAGCAGACTTTGCGTAGGTGGATACATTTGATGACATACAGATGATCTGACATTCAAAAAACAGCCACAAAGAGATGAAAGATCAACTTTCAGTGAGAAGCAACCAATCAGAAGACTGTGTTTGTTTGCTTGAATAATCTATAATAATGTACATGAAAATATATAAATACGTGTTGATTTCCTTAATAAACGATCTGTTGTATGGTGCTTGTCTTCTGTTGTTACAATACTATTAGATATCTAGTTCCAAGATAAAATGCATCCCCTATTCCGTTAAATATTTTATTCATAAGGAGATTAGATAAAGTGGAAAGGAGAATGTCTAGTGAAGCGGAATTACGAATGACCATCCCCAGACGGACGAAGACTTTGTCCATGTGATAGGAATGATCTAAAACCAATTTCAGGTATTCGTAATCCACAATGACAATTTGAACATTATTATGATTCATTCGATTCCAGTCTACATCATTTGTTTGAATGCATTTCGATTTCACTGTCTTCTAAGCTGTGCGGCATTCAGTTGCAACATACAGTACACTAACTGCTATGTAAGAATGTAACAACAGAAGACAAGCACCATACAACAGATCGTTTATTAAGGAAATCAACACGTATTTATATATTTTCATGTACATTATTATAGATTATTCAAGCAAACAAACACAGTCTTCTGATTGCTTGCTTCTCACTGAAAGTTAATCTTTCATCTCTTTGTGGCTGTTTTTTGAATGTCAGATCATCTGTATGTCATCAAATGTATCCACCTACGCAAAGTCTGCTGTGGTTGGTTGTTGAATAAGTCTTTGTTCATATTTTCTCACGACCAATATTTGGGACATAAATATTGACGTAAATTACTGTTACCAATTTAGCTAGCAGCCTGCTCTCATCACAAGAATATTACTCATTGGGCCGGAGTATTTTTTTATTTAGTCATTATAGGTGTAGTGCCGATTATATATGGAGTACATAATGTTATATTAATTTTCTTCATCTCAAAGCTACTCTGAAGATGGAGCTCAACGTTATGCCAAATGACTGGTACATAATCAATATTGGACAGATTGGATATTATAGAGTTCATTACGTTGACAATAATTGGGAATTACTGATAGATGAATTACTCAAAAACTATAGGGTAAGTTGTTCCATTTACTGAGAAAGTAGGACTGATTTAAAAAATCTTATTTCGTAATAACAGTGACCATAACAGAAAAGGTCAAGTTACAATCGTCTATTATTGAGTCATTCACTTATAATCACTGATACAGTCTGGTTAGATACGAATCTGTTCAGTGACCTACATTAAACTGAACACAAGTGGCTGACAACATCCTATAAGTGTGATATGTGTGAATTACATAACCTGAGGAAATGTTTGTCATGTTGACATTGAGGAATAAGCAAAAGGCAGGAAACGGACTATATGGAGAGAAAGTGGGTGTTCGACTGAGATATGTACGGGGTAACATGTTGGATATACACGATATCTTGTAATTTTATTACTACCTTGTAAAGAAATGCAAATGTGTTAATTGAAGGACGAATATTAAATGGTTACTGATTAACGCCAACTCAGCCGCCTTACTTCATGATCGCAATGTTCATTTGATTTCATCAATCCTTTCAGCTGCATGAATAATTCAAAGATCTCTTTCCCACAGAAGGCAGTCTTCTTCCCGAGTCTCTACTTCAACCACAACTCACAAATTAGTACAAGATAAAAAAGGGTGAAGGCTAACACAAAGGGAAGATTTCTATCATGTTTAATATGTGTTAACGGTTAGAAGGTATGATGCACGAGAATGTTGGCCAGTTGATTTATCTCTTAGAATGTTTCTTGAAAAGAATAACTACACAGTGTGATGGACAATTCCCCACTGGAGTAAATCTGTAGATATGTAAAACGAAATAATTAGGATTTCACAGAACACCGAAATCTGTTTGTCAAAATGACTTAGAAAATTGTAGTTCATATTGCAGAAGCCATATCTTCACAAAAACACTTTGTCCGCCAAAAGACATTTGTCTAATTTTAGAATGTGGAAACAATCTGAGTTGATGACGTCCTTGTCGTGTGTGTTCTATCCGTGATCAGGTAATCAATGTGGATTCCTGGAGAATCCCATTCTAGTATGAAGAATCCTTTTGCAGTTCCTTGGTTTTCAGCTCTCTTCTAGTTGATGTGTGTTGCCTAGTGAGACAAAAACATTAACTTTGAAATAATTTGAATCTCCACAAGTATGGCATTCAAAGATCATTCAAAATTTCTGTTAATTCATATGGTCTATTTTCTATTTTCAGAGTATTCCAGATTCTGCACGTCCACAGATCATCGGTGATTTATTCCATCTCGCAAAGTAAGTGATCACTAACTAAACGAAGATCATAAAATAAAAATATACCTATGGAATCACTAACTGATGAGCAGTGGTCAGGTTAACTATACACCTCTAGTTCTTTCTCTGCACTATCCTACTATCTGGTAGGCGAGTTGTTTTCATAAGAAGGCTTCATATTGTTATACTGGTTCATTGGAAACATCAGATATCTTCCTCATTTTTCTCGATTTGTTTCATGATTTCACAGAGGTCAAGAAAAGCACCTATTTAGCATTTCAAAAAATCTGAGCTGTTAACAATTTCATCTGGAATAGGATATGGATAGTTCGTCTTGCATTTATTCCTTGAAATTCTCATGTCTAATGGTGTCATGGTAAAGCGTTAATAATAACATAGTAATGAGTTTACACAACAGGTGATTGCTACAAAATTTATACGCATATGCTTCATCCGCAATAGTGGAAATTATAGCCTAAACAAAGTTCCTTTGGAGGTGAATTAGTAGCCAAGACGTTCCTGCTTCAATTGTGTTGTTTCAATAGGAACTGCAAAGTGTATCTTAGTGTACAGTGTGTGGAAATCCACTCATAGTTACATTAAATGTGCTTATATTTCTCCCATCACTAGCATGATATCTCAGACAGTGAATGAGAGACTGCATTCTTCTTCAAAAACAGTGTAAACGTTTTCCTCCAACATTACACCCTGCCTATTTTCACCTTCTTAATGTCATTAGTAAAAAGAGATACATTTAAACAGTTATCGGTTGTTCAATGTTTCGAGGAAAACAAAGTATTTCTGAATCTCAAACACCATATTGCCCCAAAAACTATCAACAACCTGTAGGATTATTAAGGTGAACTAGGTTTTGAAGTTCTTGTACATATTCAAGATAAAATATGAGATCTCAATTCAATTTAGTGAGAAGTACATACTGAGTGTCACCATTCGGAATGCCAAGAGTCCAAACGTTTAAGGCTGAGATAGTTTGTGTTGATCAGGACAGTTTGAAAACGAAATAGCAAACGAAAATTCAGTGTGCATTGAACAAAAGACTAGACACATGACAACTATTTACTACTGTCTAGTGTCCAATCAAGGTATAACTGAAAATCTCACATATTTTCTACTTTCTTTCAGTCATGGTAACGTATCATTCACTACTTTCCTGAACTTGACGAAATATTTGAGCCAAGAAACGCAATATGTGCCTTGGACAACTGCCGGAAGAGCTCTTCTCTATCTTGACCGTATGCTTCTTTTGGATGAGAATTACGGAGATTATCAAGCATATGTACGTCTCCTTGTAAATGCAGCTGTGAGAGACGTTGATTGGATAACTATGAGAGAAGATCGCAATGAAGAGAAACAGTAAGTTTTATAGCTTTCTTAATCATTCATTCGTTGAAACACTTATGCCTAATTGTTATGTCAAATGTAGTGCTAATGGCAGTGGTATTTCAAGACTAATGGATTAAGAAATTTTTTTTTTTTATCTTCAAGCACCTCTAATCTCCGAATGCTTCCATACATTTGAATGAGGTTGTGTTCCCTGAGCTGGGTGATTTAATTAAGAAGCGCATCACTAAAATTTTCGGTTTTCTAGATAAACATCGAGATTCTAAAGAAATTCGCTCAATACAGAATCATTAATCAGTTAGAGATTAAAGTGGAATTAAATCGTTAAATAGAGACACATAACATAGTTGATGGGAGTGAAAAGAGTTGAAGTAAAGCATGGCCAAGAGCTATAACGATGATAATAGTGAAAAGTGATCAGGGATAAAATGCTTAACAATCGATAACTTTCAATTACTCATGAAGATTTTAGCGATGCAGCATGTTTTAGCATATACTGATTTTCTTTGCATGTATCTGAACGTTGTGTGGAATAAATTTGTAGGCACGTATTTCTGGTCATCTATGTGCTTCATATTCAGTTGTCAATGACTTAAACCTCATCAAAAAAGGTTGATTTGCATTTGATTTCTTGTCTCGTTTTGTTGTTGATCTTCAGTTTGTTACGCGGAACCTTGGGGGAAATTGCTTGTCATGTTGAACATGAATTATGTCTACACACTGCTAGAGTATTATTCACACTATGGATGTCGGAACCTGTGACGAATCCGTGAGTTATTCAAGAAACATTAACTTTTATTTTGATGTTATAATGAGATAGTCGCCTAGACATTTTGTTTGAATCGATGTGGAAGTGATCTGAAGAGCAACAGTAACATTTTCGAGATGTGTTGTTAAGAGAAGTTGTCCAGATTGTTCCATGTATTTAGTCTTGGAGAGCACTCCACTTACCATTATTTGTGGGTAATATAGTGACACTTTCCAATATAAAGATGGAAAGCTGACGTAATTTCATTTAGAGTATCATTCAGTCTAGTTGAATGTCAAAATTTCGAAACGGTGTAGATGTCCATCTCTCATTTATGGCATTCTGAGGCACGTTTTATTGATCAACCAACGAATCTGAACACTTACTTGTTTTAAGATCTCTTGAGATGAGTCAAACGGTAGGGAAACTCATTAATGTGACATGAATTTCATAACTAAATAGATGGATGAATCAAGATCAGTGAAGAATTCTCATGACTGATGGACATTACGGTGTTATTGAATCCATTTCTCGTTAAAGATACATATTACTGGTAAACATATTTTGGGCGATCAGTGTACCACAGCAGAATAAACATTATTGGAGTATGAAGTTGAAATATATTTCAAGAGAATTTCATAGGAACTCCTTTCATTGACAAACCTCAACTTGTCACTCACATATTATTGAAATATCTTGACAAAATTGATTGATGATGAAGTGGCTGGTGGATGACCTGTTCATAACAGATGTACTGATTTGGCCTTCAATTATTGGAAAACTTGCAGGGAGTACTGGACAGACAGCCGTTTCATCAGTCTTGTTTGGGACTCTTTGCCAATACGCGCCTACCGGGGACCGAATCCAGGTCCTTCTGGTTACAAGGCGATCTAGCTCGTAGACCATGAAGCCGCTGGTACCAGATCCATTGAGCAATTTACGACAGCTCATGGTGGAATCCCGTAACCAGTCAGTCTAATTCCTACAAACCAATACTTGGCCTTCAATTAATAATGTCCAATATTTGACTCGTCTATATCCTCGAAATATGCATTCTTCATAGATATGACTCTCCGAAAGGTGCTAAATTTTCTCCTCATAATTCATTAACCGTAGTTATGGTTTAATTCTATAGGGGGAATCGAGATTCAAGCATGCAGTAAGCTCTCTGTCAAGCAAATCTATTGTTAAATGGGGTAGAGATTGTTGCAAAATACCTAAAAATACTTAGTAATCTGTTTACAGCCAAGTTTCAACGCAAACTTCGAAGAAACACTGGAGAAAAGGCAGTAACGACCAAAAATTGTGGTGTTGTGGTTTGAAAGCAGGAAACCGATTCATTGTGTTCTACTGTATAGCTAACAATAAATTAAAAATTATAGTAATAATAATAAAACGTTATTTCACACAATATGTGAACATATAGTACAAAAATTTTCAGTGTATTAAGTTCCAAAATGATTTTTTCTTGAAAGACGATTTACATGTAAAGTAATAATCTGAAGTATATCTTTGTTTCCTTGAAGAACTTCACAGCGTTTACTTGGAAACAAGTTGAATCAGCGCTGAATTTCATCTATAGGTTATTTGATACATCTGAACAATTAAAACAACGATAAATCCCCATGAAATTAGGCATTATGGTGGAAAGCAGTTTCGGTTGGCCAGTGATTTAAACAGGCCACCATAAGTTCTTTATGTCATTTACTCACAGTCACAAAAACGTCTGGACAGTAGTAAAAAGACAGCTGTTTATGATAAATACCACGGTACAAGTAAATACAATCATAACATATGGAAATGCAAAATTACCTCAACAATACCGTTAGGCAGCTATGCAGATCAAATCAGATCTCAGATACGAGAGAAGTATTATACAACAGAATTATTCAGTCTAGATCAACCGTATAAGGTACTTAGGAATCAAGAAGTATATTTCCAACTAGGTGGGATTGAAACTCTCTTAGCAAGTCACACACACACACACCAAACAATTCCTGAAGACAATCGAAGTTCAGAATCACCTTGACTCTCTAGAACATAATCGCTGTCGAAAAATAACACATTACAGATGTCATAATACAACCATAAAGAGAAACATTAAAATTGGAGATTGAACAGAAACAAGGACAAATAATGAGGAATGTGTCATCAGACAACACAAGAACGTCAGAACGTTGATGGACAGTCTAGGACAAAAAGGGATAATAATCACAGAGTTGGTTGGAATGTCTAAATAAGTAACAATATCGTAAATAAATCATCCAAGAGGGACTTCCCAAACAACTATTGCTATACAAAGGTGAAACCATAATTAACATCCAGTTCTTATCATCAGGTGAGATAGTTAATCAACCTGATTCAAAATTTGTCTTCTTTAGTCTGATTATACGTTACTTATTCTATCCCCTGTTAACTCTGAATACACATTCCATAGCATACCGCCTGGTTTGAGATCAGCCGTCTACTGTACAGCTATCCGATTTGGTGGGCAAGCAGAATGGAAATTTCTCAGAAGTCAGTACAATGTTAATGAGACGGAAGATGTTGAAAAGGAAAATATCCTGACGGGATTATCTTGTTCCCGTGATGTATGGACGATGAAACTGTAAGTCTATATAATATTAACAGTTAATTCGTCCAATGTTTGTTCATTGAAAACGAAGGAAGACTAGACCATCTGTCATCAATCAGAATTTCATTTTATGCCTTTCAATTTGGTCGAATAAGCAAGTTGACACTGATTGTGTTCAATTCACTGTCAAAATTGTTGTCAGTTAAGTCTTTTTTTGTAATGAACTGTTTATGTGAAACAAAATAGTTGATAAGCTACCTGACCTAATCAAATAATCTAATAATTTATGATGATCATGATGATGGCCACCGAGTGAGTTGTCAAGACTGTTAGGGACTTAAGGGTTTCGATAATAAAAATAACCAAAAATTTATGGTTTATTTTTTTTTTTTTTTTTTTTTTTTTTTTTTTTTTTTTTTTTTTTTTTTTTTTTTTTTTTTTTTTTTTTTTTTTTTTTTTTTTTTTTTTTTTTTTTTTTTTTTTTTTTTTTTTTTTTTGGGAATATCCGAACTATTGCTGCTAGACGCCATAGAACCCCCTGACTTGACGGAGAAGTAACTTCTCATCGTTTTGTTTCTGTCTTCTGCCACTATTCGCCTTCTTCCTTACATTCCTGTTTCCTTAAATTGACGACGACTATGAAACTCGTCGTTTCAGTTGGCGACACAACACAAATGTGATATTCAGGTATCAGGTCTGTAGGTATTCAAAGAGACAGAATGAATCCCTCAACATTAACTGTCACATTCTGATAATGATGATGATGACGTCACTGTCTCCTCCTGGTTTTGTTCACATCCAGATACTTTGATTGGATTAAACAAGACAAACAATACTGGTCAGCGATTCCTGAATTCGCAGTATCTCCAATCGGTAACAGAATGTTGTGGGACTATGTGCATGAAGCGGTCAAATCTTTGAAAACTGGGTGAGTTGAGCTTGAGATGTATTTTGAATTTACCTTATAATTTATCCATGACATTTAATAGAACAAACGATCTCTGATTCACTTATGACATTTGTATTTTCCCTGTTGATTCGTACATTTTTATTCATATTTTTATGACATTTTGTCTGACTATTGTTGAGCATGACTACGTGACTCAACCCTAAGATGACATCAGTGGAGTAGAAACAATATTATCAGAAAGCCACTCATATAACGTCTGGTGAGTTTGTAAGGTGGACTCTGCAACAAAATAAAGTAATCATTCCAGTTGAATAATTTTGAATGGGCGAACCATATAGGAGAGAAATTTTTCTGATGTTATTAGTGTTGATATTCCGAATCTTCTTCTTTATAATGAGCGTGGAAGATTTCCATTCTGACTGTGGGCTGATGAATTCCTGCCTTGCCTTTCCGATGTAGAATTTGATGTTCTTAAACTTGTCAACCATAGTTGAGAGAATCATTCCTTCAAATTCCTTCTGTCAATGGTGATTGTTGGTTGCTATTGTTTTAGAGTTGTTCTTTATCTTCATCACCTCCTATTCCACTATGTTTACTTGAACTCCTGTCTTTGCTGCTAGCCCTATCGTCAACTTGTTGGTTTCCGCCTGTAGATCTCCAAAACAAAGATCAGAAAAATCATGCGCGAAACCCAGATCTTCTAGAATCTTCTTATCCATGCAATATATTCCTGTCTTCTCACTCTGAAGCACAGTGAATAATCTAGTTCACAACAATTCGGAATATCATCGGGGATAGTAGTGGGCAGCCTTGTCTAACTCATGTGAGTTTTCCGTTGTGAATCAGTTGACAGGTGGCATCACCATAAAACTGTTGAATGAAACTGAAGCAGGTTGAATGTACTCTGTAGTGCAGAAGTAGTTTCAGAATAACTTCGTGGTCAACTTTTTGAAGACTTTTTCAAGTCGGATGAAGCTGAATATGGAGATCCGACTGCCATTCTTCTATGCTCTGTTCGATGATGAGGCGTGGCGTACTATGGAACACTCAGCATCCGTTCTCCTCAACTTATAATCTACTCATTTATGCATGCAAATTGCAAAACATTAGATGGAAAATTACCAAGACTAGAGTCAGCAACATAAAATTAGTATCTGCATTACTCATTGTATGGAAAATTTAAAAGTCATGAAGCACTGGTTGGCAGTAGCCCTGTTGGGGTCAAGCTATAATAGACGACATATTTACCGTCTAAGTATTGCCATTTATATCTCACACTTTCGGTTTCTGCGTCGTTCAGTACATCGGTCCGAATAATTTTTCCGTGTATGTCAGTGAAGCCAGTAACCTCGATATTGCTACATAGAAAATATTTCATTTGAACTACCTGTCATCGGGTTAATAAACCTTTAGGATTTTATGAGTTTCAATACAAAAGTGTTCCTTACATCCGAGTTTTAGTTTTATATAAATGCCTCAAGATATAAGGAATACTCTGACGAGTTTATAACTGAGTGAAAACACTCCAATAAAATGTCCAGATGTACACATTTTGGACATACGCATTGAAAGCAAAATAAAGGGGAATATAGCCGACTCCTTTCTACATACTTTCACAACATCTTTCTAAGCAAATTGTGAAGGTATATCTGAGTAATGACTGGTGTTTAAAAAGAGGAATCCTCAGTGACAGATGACTGGAACTAATTAACTCATAATTACTAAACGTAATATATTCAACTGTAGCTGATTATACTGCGGAAATGTTTCAATAAGTGACCTCTAGTCAATTAAATGTAAAATATTTAACCTAATGATCAAAACCTATATGGAAGTTGATTAAATCGAATTAGTTCTAACAAATGATTCGTCTATTTCTTTTACAGCATGGAAAATTCAACACGTTCCCCAACTGATATGTGAGTTCTATCGCCACTGATTTCCATTGCATTAAGAATTCAAACCAACTGTTAAATTTCATTCTCAGAAATTCATTTAACTTGTGTGAGATTCCTCCTTGAACAACTTCGCTGTTCTGCAAATTACTTTGGTATTCATACACTGATGACTGTACTATGTCTGGAAATGCACCAGTCTAGATTTTATATAAGCTAACGGCTTTCCTCTTCTTGGCAGGAAAGGTGATTTTCGGTGTGTCATATGAATTTATGTTTATGCTAATTATCCACAAGGAGAAGTAATCACCGTCATTGTTTGTTCTATGGATGTAACGCAGTACATAAATTGAAACTTTGAAATATCATGAACATGAAAGTGTTGTTTAAATGAAATCTGCAATTGCGGTTGACAGCCTTATTTGGAATCTGTTTGTTGCTAGTAATAATCATTGGGAAACTCACGGAAACCGTCGAAGTAAAGGCAGGAGTAATACGAGGCCGACTGGCTGCTAAAAATCTCCAATGATTTTCCTGATTTCGGTAGACTGCATAACGCGACAGACAGCGAGGCACGAGAAGACAAGCATAAAATGGACCAACAAAAAATACTTGGAGGTTCTGGATTTCACTGACAATATGTGCCTGATTTCACATAAAATAGAAGGGATGCAAATGAAAAGCAACAAGTTGGGAGAAGAAGTATCGAAGATAGAACTCCAAGTGAACAAAGGGAGGACAGATGTGAGGAAGATTCCTGGCCGACGGCAACAACAACAGGCAACAATCAGCACAAATGGAAAGATTCTGAAAGAATCGACCTCCTTTACCTATCTGCGAAGCACCGCTTCAACTATAGGCGGACGAAACTGATGGGGATATCAAAGCGAGGATCGGGAAAACAAGGCAAGTCTGTGTGTAGATTAACAGCACTCAGCATCAAAAATAAGATCCAGATTTCCAACTCCATTGTGAAGTCGGTGCTACTTTGTGTATCAGAGACTGGGCGCGCCACAAAGAGCACTTCAAACAAACTACAGACTTTCGTCTACAACCATCTTTGCTGAATACTCAAGATCAAATGGCCAGAAATGATCAGCGACAGGAAGAGATTTCTGGCAATGAGCGAACCAACCAGGGACCAATTGTGCAGCAAATATGCAGGAAAAAATGGAGGTGGATTGGCCATAGTTTGAGAAAACCATCAAGTGACATCACACTCCAGACTTTCTCTTTCTTGAGTGGAACCCGAAAAGGAAGCTTTGAGTTGGTCGTCATTGTAAGGGTGACATGAAGTGGAGGAGGTGATGTGAAGAGGAGATGAAAGTATGTGGTCAGACGTGGAGCCAGCTGAAAACGTTGGCAGAGGACCGAATGCAATTGAGACGTGAGGATGAAGCCCTATTTTCCTCTCGGAACCAAAGCAGATAATAGTGTGATGAGAGCAGGCTGCTAGCCAATTGGTAGACATTAATTTACGTCAATGTCTAGGTCACCAATATTGGCCTTGAGAAAATATGAACAAGGCTGATTCAACAACCAATCACGGCAGTTTTAACGTGGGCAAATAAGATTCGCAGATATATGGCTTGACTTTTCGAGAAACCAGAAACAACCAATCAGAAGACTGTGTTTGTCTGCTTGAATAAGGTATAATAATGTGCATGAAATAGATACAAATACGTGCTCACTTCCGTAATAAAGCGATCTGTTGCCGGCCCTTGTCTTCTGTTGTTACAATAGTAATAATACTGGTAATAATTAATGTGTAACCTATAAGACAGTTAAATCGCTTACACTGTGTTAGCATAATTAACTTTATCGCTTTTAATTTCACCTTTACAATGTTGACTTTCACACGCTTTTCTTTTTCAGTGATGAATTCACCAAAGAAGTGATCCAGAGTCTTTCTAATCCATATTACAGCTTGAATAACAGAAATGATGGGGAAGAGGTGAGTCTGATTTCAACATGATAATTTTCACTGTTCTTCAACGCACTGGTTGTAAAATACAGTGTGCATGTGTTAGAAAATAAAATTTAGTATGAATGTGTTGATACGTATAAATATGTGTTCAGTACAGTAACTCGCATATAACATTGACTGGCGACTGCAATATATATATATATATATATATATATACCACGAATTGATAGAAGTTGGAATTCATGGGCTGGTCGTCGTATCAGGATCCAGTGGCTAAATGGGTTGTGGAGTAGCTCTGTGACCTGAAGTTCCTGGGTTCGAACCCCAGTAGGTGCCTACAGATGTGGGTGTGCATTCCTAAAGAGTATCAGACTTGAATGGAACAGCTGTGCCTGTTGGTTCAGTGGTTCTGAAACCGATGAAATGGGGATTTGTGCAGAAATGACTCATCTTACCATGACACAGAGAAACACAAATTAATTGACATTACAGCAAGTGACGCTACTTGTTTGTGGTCCAAATAATTTAGGTCCACTAATATAGGAGGTGTTCAACATGAACTGTTGCTAGACCTTGAACTTTTCACTGTGGGATGCAATCATGCTCCTCTGATTACATCAAATGGAGTTTGTCCTTGACATTTTGAGTTGAAAATGGCAACTACAAAGTACTCCGTGAAACTCGTATATTTTGAATAGTCGCAGTAATTTTAAGTTGTTTGAAAACCGTTTCACGCCAGTCAGATGGAATTATGATTAAGTATTCTAATATTGGAAATCAAAGTTAAAGTTTAAATGAATTTCCATAAATCTACTCAACCCACACTAGAATGCACAAATAAAATGAAGTGAGAAGTGGTTTAATGCGAATATTTGTTTGAGCGACAAAATGCCAAGGTAACTTCAATTCACTCGTCTCTTTGCAATGATTATACGTATGAGTGCCTACAATGAGTTGTGTTGGAAAAGTGATCCATTTAATATTGATGTATTTCTGTGTATTATTTCAGATAAACATGACTGATATGAGATCATACTTAAGTACCACAGTGCCTGAACAAAATATTATTCTCACATAAAGTTCGATTTATTTATGCGAATAATTATGAGCTACTTAATTACGTGGATAGTAGCTATTGCAATTCGCGCGATTATTTTTGATTCCCTATGAATTAATGTAACTGATTCTGCTGTCAAAAATGTTATCTTGCATATGTATATATATAATTCTTGAGAAGTCGTCAAAGATTACTTTTATGAATGTATTTTTAATCGCCTGGTGTTTTTGTGGAAAAGGAACATTTTAATAATGTCCTCTGAATGACACGTATAGTGTGATGATGCCTGGTGCATAAGATTTGCTGATGTACAGTGACACGGAAGACGGGAAGTATCTTACATTTTTAAATCTTGGTAATAGCAGAAGGTGAACCGGTTGTAGTCTTGGATCGTGAGTGGTTAAATTACACTTCATCCTCATCAAATTAGTCCAGAAATCTTGTGGTTTTTGTGAGGTTATTATTATTATTTTATCCTTTAATTCCTAGAGGAACATAGGGCTTCAGCTGCGCATATCCATTGCCTTCTGTAATCTGCCAACTTTTTCCCCCCGCTCCAAGTCTATCCACATGTTTTCATCTCCTCCTCACATGACCTCATCCAAGTCAACCTTGCACTGACGACCAACTCGCCGCTTCCCTTTCGGGTTCCACTCAAGCGATGGCCTGGCGGGTGATGTCACTTGATGGCTTCCTCAGAGTATGACCAATCCATCTCCATTTCTTCCTGCCTATTTGTTTCACAACCGGTTCCTGCTGTGTTGGTTCGCTCATTGCCAGAGATCCCTGTTGCTGATATTTTCTGGCCGGCCATCCAATCTTGAGTAGCATTGAGCGAAGAAAACTGTTAATGAAGGTCTGTAGTTTGTTTGAGATGCTCTGTATGACGCGCCAAGTCTCTGATCCGTACAGTGAGTAGCACCGACTTCACATTGGAGTTGAAAATCCGGATGTTATTTTTGATTCTGAGTGATGTTGACCTCCACACAGACTAAAGAGTAGTGAAAACCTGTCTTGCTTTCCGGATTTTCTGTGCTGTGATATCTTCGTCAGTTCTGCCGCCTACAGTTGAAACGATGCTTCCCTGATATATAAGTAAAGGAGGTTACTTCTTTCAGATTTCTCCCATTTATGCTGGCTGATTGTTGTCTGTTGTTGTTGCTGCTGTTGGTGTTGGCCAGTAATCTTCATCACCTCTGTTTTATCTATGTTCACTGGAAGTAAGGTAGTTGGAGGCAGTCAGCATGAAGCCTTGGGCCTTGGTTTCGTGCTTGTCGTATGATTGAATTCTGTCTACGCCAAAAGAAGAATGACACACATGACACTATTTACTGCCTAGTGTCCAAACAAAGCATCCACTGCAGTCTCACAGAAGATCAATCACGATAATGAATGGCTCAATAGTAGTGGTAATGTCTTTGGTTGAAGAAGTGGATGCCCGTAGTTATACCCTAACGATCCAAACTGCACCGTGATAGCAACGCAGCTAGCATGGTAACCAAATTGCACACCTAACTGATAGAATTCAGTTAGCGTGAAACGAAGAACAGGACAGAGGAAATTAACTGCTTATGCCTGGTGTTTAATCAGAAATCTTATAGTTATTGTATTGGTGTGCATCAGGACTGAATAAATAGTATTAGTGGACGATAATTATACATACTCACAACATACCTACAAGTGAAACCTGAATACATGCGCCTTCATTTCATTACTGTAGAGATTTTTAGATATTCTTCTTCGAAACATGTTTTTCATAACTGCAAACCTGAACATAACACATCTCATTTCCTTTACAGATACTGAGAACAGAGGCTGATTGGCTACAGTTACCACAGAATCATACACTCAAAGGGGCACTGAAGAACTTGCTAACTACCTCGAAGCGAAATTTGAAATGGCTTGACACCCACCTCCAGACAATTGTACAATGGTTGAAAGAAAACGTTCCTCGTACAGCACAAGAGGTCTAGAAATGTTACTCACTGTGGAGAAAATCGTCCCTGATTCCTATTTGAACTATATAACGTGAATCGAAATTCGG